CTTTCAACAATTTCCTCTTAACATTTTAACGAATATATTTATAATCTTGTTGTAGCGCGATACCATATCAGAATAATTACATTTTTTAAAGTCACTGCTAGCTTAAGAATGAGCTAATTATTTCTATAATGATTATTTGAATATTTTCGGCACTGTTATGTTCCGAACCTGTCAGTAATTTACGTATATTATTTTTAGTCAGCCTAGGCGCTTTAAAGAATGGTAGTGGAATTCCCCACTATAGTGAGTGGGTCTCATTATGTCATTGCATTTCATTTAACCTTTCATCTAAAAGGTTTTGTTACCATGGATGGATTGCAGGTTTTACCTCGCCTAGGTCTCATCTGAAAAAAGGATCACCAGACTTATATGACCTTAAGGCAGCCAGGCCTCCTCCATATCAGTAGAATAGTGGGCTTGCCGATGAAGCAAACGTATATTTGCTTTTACAATAGGCGAGTATGCTTCAAAACCACCGGGAATTCTTGAATCAAAACTTAGTTTGTTTCGTTAAGTTAAGAATTTTTGATAATGAAAGGGAGAAGCCTAACGATGCCACTAAGTCGAAACTCACATTCCTATTTGAATGACAAAGCCTTTGGGGAAGAACGGCTAAGTTGACTTTAATGGCGTCGTGAAGCTTCCTTGTGGGACATCTCACCATCACTTTTTACGTAACCTTAGGCGATTTGAAATGATTAAACTGCTTAGGAACTTCATAATGATTGCAATTACTGTATTGCAATTCGATTCATTCTTAGTCTGATTATTCATCGAATGTGAATTTAAGTTGCTTATTTGCGCCAAGTTTATCTACTTATTCATAATTATTCTCTACCGACTTAATAGATCTATCCCTCTATTTGTTCATGCTTTTACCTTCACCTTATACCTTCACCTCTCTAGCTCTTTACTACAATGCTTGCATGTTCCTCTCCTACCAGTGTCTGACACTAGGTAAACTTCGTCTCCTTCCCCTCCTCGAGTCTCTTGTCGCATTTTTCCCTAACACTCCAAACCTTGCATCGCCTGACCAGACCGAGCCGAGGCTCTCTGGTTCTAACCTTGATGTTGCTCCTCTCTCTCATACATCTAACACAAGGATATCACCTTGGCTTCAGCTGGTTCCTCAAATGGAAGTTGTAGCAGTCAGCACTTGTGTCCTGGTACCGAAGCTTCGCCACTCTGGGATTCGTGTTTTAGAAGATCAGATCGCCCGACAGAAGTTGGCTATTTCATCCGCTCTGCTCAAAGCAGACGGCTTCAAGGTACAAACTGGACGGTTCTTTTATTTGCTTGTTTCTATATATTTAAAATCTCACTTCCACTTATACTAGAGTTAGTTATATGAGCCTTTTTGCATTTATAGAACCAAAATGAAATGTCATCTCGCTAAGTAAATAAATTACCCAGTCACATACCCGAGAACTGGCTGTATGGAGTTTTGGGTTAATTTTTTTATATACTTTATATTCTCACTTATCTTGGTATATAAGAAGGATACGGTATACCTTTTTGAAAGTTTCTTTAGCCTGATTTGGAAATCTTACTCTTATTCGACACAGAATTTCACTCTGTCGAAACTGCTTTCAAGAATGTGACAATTGGGTTTCCACGAAGTGGCTCATTTAGGTCTTGTTTAGATAGTTTGCTTATTTCAAACTTCGCAATTTTGGAGTTTGCCCATTTTCTTCCAACTGGTTAATAGCTATGTCTAGTTGTGTGCTTCATTGTTTTTAAAAATGATACAACTGCTATCAAAATTCGTTCAGATTAACAAAACGATTATTTCCATTTTTCCCAATCTGATCACTTATTTGAGTCTTGCATTATGCTATTCCGATATGTTCAAAGAGATATTCATCATGCAAGTCTTCCTTATTCACTCGAGCATATTTTGGGGGGTAAATGCATATTCTTCATTTTTTTATTTTTGCATTATTTTGCCTTCTTGCATTCTAAACGTTTCTTTTTGTGATCCAACTCCAGAACTGCTCTTTTCTCAGTGCTCGTCCACAATGCACTCAGGCCATTCATTCCGTCTGTCAGATTTTAAGCCAGAATTGTCGAGATCTTGAAGTCATTCCAGCCAGCCAGCTCTTTTTGTTTATAAGTGAGTTATTTTATTCTACTAACGTTAGATATTCAAGGTTTAGTAAGACATTGAGACCTCCAAAATTCTTCAAATTAGCTTAATGAATTTAGGCCAATTCTTTGCCTTTTCTCCAGGATCTGGAAAAATAGTTCTATTTGCCCCTAAGCTTTGAAGCCATTTTCAGCTCGAGTGTTCGACTAAGATTAGCACTACTTTACTATAACAATAATACTACTAATAATAAGTTGATTATCATTATTCTGCTAATTAGCTTGCTATGATGAAGACTTTTATCCACATTATATCACCCGATACATATTCATTAGCTTGGAGTGAACCTTTGAATAGACCCTAAG